CTCTTTCCAGAAATTTCTTCTCCCACTCGCTCACTCTTAAAAACACTCTGACTCAGGAGGCCACGATAAAATTTTCATTATTCTTATTGTACAACGATGAATTATTAAACAATATGGGGAAAATGGTGCAAATTATTAATGTCTATTTATTTATTTCCTTTGTTCAAATTTTTAGAAAATGGTTAGATTAAAACAAATATAAATTGAGAAATTAATATCGACGGATACTGGTGACCAACATGGCCGCACCGAGGAGACAAGCGCCTGCCACTGATGACCACCATAGCAGTTACCGTGTTAATGCATACTGCGTAGAATGGGAAACAGTATTATAGACGTTCAGAGTTCAGACTCGATCACTATTGACCATGATCACGATTGTCGCCTGTCTACTTGGAACGAGGACACGAATGAAATGTTGATTATACGAAAAAACTCGGCAGAAAAGTAGTACAAGCGTGACTTCGATAGGTATATGGAAAATAGGAAAAACGAATATATGAAAAACGAGATTGAAGACCGTTAGCCGTGAAATATTCTCACAATCGATAAATGTTTGATTTATTGAATATTCAACTCGCACTAGATGGAATTGAAAAGCATCCTATGGTCGGCTGAGTTTAGGGTTTACAGACGATTGACTGCTGAGAGGTTAGGTAATTACCTGGCTATGATGGCTATTTGTCTATCGTAACGAGGACGCGAATGGTTAAATGGTTGTATTAGTTATGCCAGTCGTTACGTAGTTAGTACAAAGAGCTGGGTGGAAAGTGGCACTATCGTGTCTGCGATATTTGCATCTCGAGATAAACATAGGAAACGATACTTAGGATCACATTTACCGAGAAATGAACGTCAAATAAATTTTAATAAATTTTAATAAATTTTAAGTTAAAATAAAATGTACATTATTTTCAAATCTCATGAAGGGATTCTATGGTACATTTTTATTAATACTATACCGAAGTTAGAAACGTGCAAAATTAAGATGAAGTCCAGATTATCTCGAGCAGTATATAGTATGTGGATTGTCTGTTCTAAACCGCGTTCGGGTCAGCGAACACAAACGTACGAAATAATTAGTGGAAACGCGATAAACTGTGTCACACGACGAACTAATATTTATAGTAAGCAAGCAAGTACGCCGTTCGTTCGCAGTTTGCGACACACCTGTATTTTCTATTTAATTGTCCCGCGGTAAAGGGGTTAAGATTGCTTCTCGTTCGACCAGAAAGCGAGTTGCAAATTCTGCAGCTAAACAAACGGGTGTTTACAGTCTCGGCACTGATAGTTCGCAAGAAACGTTGCAAAATAGACTATGAGACGTGATTTAGAATTGTACGAATATTAACCGCGATGGCTGCCCATTAGTTACACCGCTGTATACATTTCTAAATTCCCGATACGGACCCGAACACACTTACGTTTCAGGACCTGCTGCCGTTTGACATTCGGCTGAATTTACGACCCCCTTTATACTTCTTCCAGCACCGGTGTCTGCCAGGATGACAGAGGAAAGAATATGATAATATATGACGTTCCACGCGAACGCTTCATGGGGTTGCACGGTTGCTTTTTACGATTCCGACTCGACGACATTCGAAATTTTATTTTATTAGAATCCCAATGCATCCGTTTCTTGCTCGAAAAATCGTATACAGGAAGCTTTGTTCGTCCATAGAGACAGGCGTAAAAATTTTCTTAACCTTTCCTTGGAAAATTCGCGAAAACCGAGGTCAGTTTCGATATCCTCGGATAAAGATCCGCTTTCTGGAAATCGAAGATACTGCGGCTATTTTCTGCCGTAACGATTAAAAGGGTGCGATAAATCAGCCGTCGTTTGCTGCTAGTTACTCGCTGAAATTACCGTAATCGATGATCGGTTATCAAGGACTCGTCTGTTTCTATTTCCAGCCGTGTATCAACGCGGATACGGTAGTAACGAGATGCGTTAACGGAACGTTGTTTGCAGGAAAACATTCTTCTGCGTATACATCTGCACATCGCCAGCGGGGAGGCAGAAGACATGTGCAGTGCGAGACACTGCGTGCCGCATCAGAAGTTCGCCATGACGCTGGTTGAGCAAAGCGTCTGCGGAGCTTGCGGCGCCACCTCGGAGCCTCTGCCTTTTACACAGGTCTGTAATCGAATTTTCCCAGCAAATGATCATCTCTTCTTACCTTTTTAAATATAACCACATAATGATTAGAATTGTGCAAATTTCTTTGGGATGAGAATGGGATAGAAAGTTATAGGTGATAGGAATATTCGATAACTCTCCATTTTATTTTAACACTAGAAGAGTTAATCCAATTAAATTATTAATTCTGGAAATTAATTCTAATTCCAATTAATTCTGGAATTTTCCTTTTTGCAATTATTATAAACATATACCTGCTTTTAAATATTTTTAAATATTTTATTTGCGAAAATAAAAATACATGTTTGATTATTTTATTATAAATCAAAATTTATATTGCGAATTAGTTTCTTTAATAAATTAATAATTTCTTCGAAAAATCATTTGACCTCTTGTGGTAAGAATAAGTATGTGTAAAGTACCGGTACGTTTAGTGTTAAAAGAACTTAGTATCGACTCATATTGATATAAAATTGTGATTAATATATTTATTTATTTTCATCGTATCACTAAAATTAATATCATTTATGCCAACTATATACAGGTACCCATTAAAGATCGGTACCTCTAGTGTAAAAGAGAATGACTAGTATATTATACTGAAAACACTGATATTCCTTTTGATCAATGAGATATATCGATTGAGCCGAGCTCAGTTTAATTCGAATTAGTATGTACTCTACTCTCGACATGCAGACCACCATACTCCCATGAAACACTCTTATCCACTCAAATGAAACCTCTCTATTAATGGTAATTTTCCTGACTACCAAAATTACATATAATATTTTAAAATAGCATCCAAACCTGTGCCTCTTGCAAGACTCCATGGGAACTGAGCCCACTTGATAAATATTCGAAATAAATCTGCATCTTGAAAACTATTGAGTAGTTGCTCTTATAATAAAATATTTTCTTGAAATGGATAATTAAATCTACAAACCTGCAAAGTTTCAACTAAATCACTGACCCAAAGGACTTGCACCCTCTTTGTCAGTTTAATTCGAATTAGTAGGTACTTTACTCTCAAACTAACAACTCATTAAATTAAGCTCAGTATATACCAGAAATATCAAGATTGCATATTAAATTGAAATTTTACTGACCGAGTAACCGGTGTAATTTTAGTAATTTTAGCAGCAAAATTCGATCTGAGCCCACTTGATAAATATTCGAAATAAATCTGTATCTTAAAAACTATTGAGTAGTTGCCCTTCTAATAAAATATTTTCTTGAAATGGATAATTAAATCTACAAACCTGCAAAATTTCAACTAAATCACTGACCCAAAGGACTTGCACCCTCTTTGTCAGTTTAATTCGAATTAGTAGGTACTTTACTCCCAAACTAACAACTTATTAAATTAAGCTCAGTGTATACCAGAAATATCAAGATTGCATATTAAATTGAAATTTCACTGACCGAGTAATCGGTGTAATTTTAGTAATTTTAGCAGCAAAATTCGATACCGACTTAGCTGTTCAATATCGACGGCGAGATAACGAACAACGTACCTCTACAATGTTACCTCTGCTATTCCTACGAATATCGGAGATTACTCGAAATTAACCTACACCTACGGAGAAGCAACTTGCACGTGTAACCACATTTTGCAAAAAGCGAAATCACTTCCGAAAGGGAATAAAGAACAGTTAATGCAACTCGCTTCTCCGGAGCCTGTGGCAGTTACCCTGAGCGAGCACGAGATCATCCAGTAACAGCAATTTTCCCCGTCATCAACCTCGCTTGGTCATTACCATCCTCCGCCACGTCTCTAAAATTCCATCGCATTTAAAAGCCCCGCGTTTGCCGACACTTCTGCTATATTATACATGCCTGATACAGGATCCCTCGATAGCGTGTGGCTCGTGGAAAACGTGTTTCTTGCGAAACGTTCCATTACGTTTCAAGGATAGTCCGGAGAATAGTTTCTCCTTCCTCTTTCTCCCCAGGCCATCCAATCCATCTGTCCGTACGATCTTTCCTCGTCAACCAGCTTGGTTTCTTTTCTCACGTTGCCTACGCAGGTAGACCCGGAGACGCGATAGAATGGAAAAAGACCTGCGTTGAAATAAAATTCGCGTTTATTGTCCAGCCCAGGAAAATCGTGGAATCGATGCATCCAAGGGTGGCCAGGCCACTGGGGGAGAAACGAAGAAGGTAAACGGAAGTTGGCCCCTTAGGCTTGGTTTAAGCGATTTAGGGGACTTAGCTAAGAAGCCTCTAACGCTCGCCGAGGTACCGAACGATCGAGTCTCGTGTAAACGGATTAGCTGATAGGGATTTGACGGCTCATTGGTCGCGAACGAGCAGTAGGGAAGGGGTGGATTTTGGGGTATATACACAGAGGGCCTGGAGATACTGTTTCGCGCAATAAAACAGCGTTGAGGGAGTATGAGCAAAATTGGAATTGGTAATCGGCTCTCTGGGGTCGATCGAAGGGTGTAATTGCCAAGAAACAAGGATTCGTTGTAGATTCTTGGAATCAGCTTCGTAGCTCGTACGAAGAAATCATAGCGAAATTAATCCCCTGCACTCGACGATATTTTCGTTACAGAAATGTAGCAATTCGAAGACCTTGTGCCATAAAGTCGATGATATTTTCAAAACGGTAAATAAGAATTAATTGTAAATTAATTGTAAGATATAGAATTATTTTACCTCGATATTCCATGCGTCGTTGGGCAATTTTAAATTCGATTTATTAATTAACAACGTTTCTCCAGTGCAAAGGGTTAAGTGTTCCGGCCCCAGGACTGAATATCACAAGTTAAATGGAGGACTGTTTATGTCCATATTGCCAGTGTCTCTTGATTCGTATACACTCGTTATCACCTAAGTAGTCACCACTTGGGTGAACCTTAGCAGGGGTCAATAAATCACCCTTAAGGCGATAGGCATAAGGACCGAAATTATTTAACACTAGATTTACGAAACCCGTGAATTTGACGGATGGGTTGCTCCAATTGTACGATGGTAACAGATTCAGTTAACTTATATTAAGACTGTTAATATTGTAATTGTTTTTAAATTAAACTAATCGTTAAAAAAAGAAAAGACACGTGGTTTCCTTTACCTGTAAATTTGACAGGTGTCCATAGAAATAGGTATATTAAATATAAATAGATAGCGTGCTAAATATAAATAGATAACGTCCGTAAACCTAGTGTTAAACATCCACCATCGCGGAAAGACGTCGAAGCTAACACACACCCCCAACGATCAACGATGAACGTCCCCCATAAAACCCCTAAGCAGAGCAAGACCAAAGGAAAAAGGATCAAAAAATTTTATTGTTCCCTTATAATTCGATTTTATTATTTATAATTTATTTATATATTTATATATTATATTTCATCGTTCGCGAATAGTCAGCCATTAATCACGCGTCATAGTACTAGCCACAGCTGGTGCATCGTGGAAGCAAATTCGACCAGCATAAATTACGCGAACCAATTTCGCGAAAATGCACAAGAACAGGGTTCTCGTTGCAAAAACGATACCGCAAAATTTGCCTCTCTTGATGGAAACTCTGATCACTATATCGAAAATTATCCGCCATTCTGAGTCATCGGCTAAGCCGTTTCTTCCGGACTCCATCATCCCTCTGTCAGCTTTTATTAGCGTTTGAACCTCGCGGTTTATCTCAACGAAACCGGTTCTGAACGCGACCTGCTCCTATTTAAATGCGCTTCCCTGTTCCTCGCTTTTTCCAGCGTTTCTCTAACCAATCGGCAAAAAATGAAGCAGCAAGATGGACGGAAAGCGTTATACCACGTTTCTTTTCACAGTTTCGCCAGATTTAATCACCGCGAACGCATACCCGAGCGACTGTTATCGCGTTCCTGGTAAACTGCCCCCTGTTCAACGAGCTTGATTATTTCCGCCTCGACTCCTTGAGGAAAGTGAAACTCTCGATTATTCCTCTCTCCGTTTCTGTCATTCGCGTTCCACGTCGGAGTATCCGCGATTTTTGTACTGGAAACGTGCTCAGGTCGAACGCGAGAAGCTTTCCTCGTTTTCGCGCGACGCCATTTTTCTGAGGCTGTTCGAGCAGTATGACAGAGTAGGTGAAGAACGAGGAAGTAATTCTTATTAATCGTTCACTCGATGTGATACATGCTTCCATTGATCGAGGCTAGTGTTCGTCTTGCGTAGCATGCTAGGTGTATTTTGTACTTTTGAATTGGAGAAAATATGAGTATATGTATATAACGTGTTTTGTAATCATTTTTATATATTTCTCTGAAATTTAATTTCGAAAAATTTCATAGATATATTTAGTATCTAATAGTGTCACTAAATAATAAATGTAAATTAATAAATCATATAGTGGCACTAAATAATAATAAATAAGGACCATTATGTGATGTGTCTAAGTAACGAAACGATCGTTTTGACGAACCTTGTCAAAATGGTCTGGTCTTGGGTATTAGTATTGAGGTATTAATATTTAGGTATTAGTACTTAAGCATTAATATTTAGGTATTAATATTTAGGTATTAATATTTAGGTATTAGTATTTAGGTATTCATATTTAGGTATTAGTATTCAGGTATTAATATTTAGGTATTAGTATTCAGGTATTAATATTTAGATATTAGTATTTAGGTATTAATATTTAGATATTAGTATTCAGGTATTAATATTTAGATATTAGTATTTAGGTATTAATATTTAGATATTAGTATTCAGGTATTAATATTTAGATATTAGTATTTAGGTATTAATATTTAGATATTAGTATTTAGGTATTAATATTTAGGTATTGGTATTTAGATATTAATATTTAGGTATTAATACTTAGGTATTAGTATTTAGGTATTAGCATTTAGGTATTAATATTTAGGTATTAGAATTAGGCTTCACAGGATTGAAATACGAAAATACGAGATTGAATAAAATTTTTCCGAATTTATTTCGAGTCGGTACACGTATGTAGATATATCGTAAGGTCGGAAAGACGTGTCGTTGTTTGATTAACTTCGCGTTGAAGACTTTCCATCGATTATTTTGACGGATTTATTAAACAAGGCAACAAAGAACAGTGGAAGAAGCGGGCACAAAAAGTTCCTTATCGTGGGAGTGAGTATATCTCACGGTGTATGGAAGAGTTAATTAAATTTCTAGTTAGCAACATGGAATTACTTGTGGCAAAGTTTCGATAAGATGGCGAGACCAGGCGAGGGTCTGAACAAATGCAATAACGAAAGTCGTATTTCGCTCACGGTACTTTGTAATTACTCTTTTTCTATGATAAAATTATATAATTTTCTGGGAACTTCGCGCCTCGTTGTGCTTTCATCGTGCCTCGCTTGTTTTCTCTTTCATTAAACCAACCTGGACGATTAAATTTTTTAATTCCTTTCCATTCGCCGCAAGCTTTTTGTCTTATGGAAATCAGGCTCCAACTTCCGCGAATAACAGCCATATCCCGATATTGCTGTGCCTTTTGTGATATTTTTAAGACTTCGATTTACGATCTTAAGGTTTACCAAGAATCCCCAATTAAATTCCCTTTTCCTTTTGAAGAATCCAGAAATTAACATTTGTCCCCAATTTTTCACAGAATTTTAACCTACAGAGATGACAGAACAGGTGTGAAGAATTTTTATCGGTGTCAATTACGTTTAGCAATATTCTGAATCATATCCTAAGCAAAGAACTGTCACTGTAAAATATAAAATTGGCAATAGTCACTGGAAAATATAAAGTTGGCAATAATTGCCATAATTTGACAAGTAAAATAGAATTCTCTGCCAGCAAGAACACAAAGAAAAATATTTTACCAACTATTAGCAATAACAGACATGACAGAACCGGTATAAAAATTTTTATCGGTGTCAATTGCGTTTAGTAATACTCAGAATCATATCCTAAACAAAGAACTGTCACTTGAAAATATAAAATTAGCAATAATTGCCGAAATTTGACAAGTAAAATAGAATTCTCTGCCAGCACCAACAACACAAAGAAAAATATTTCTATTATTACAGAAAATGACAGAGATGACAGAACAGGTGTGAAGAATTTTTATCGGTGTCAATTACGTTTAGTAGTATTCTGAATCATATCCTAAACAAAGAACTGTCACTGGAAAATATAAAATTAGCAATAATTGCCAAAATTTGACATGTAAAATAGAATTCTCTGCCAGCACGAACACAAAGAAAAATATTTTACCAATTATTACCAATAACTGTCAATACTTCGAATCGTGTCATAAATAAAAGTAACAGCTCCTAGAACAATGATCGCAACGAACCATAAACCTATCACGTGCGCCAAAACGGAATGACAGAGAAAGTTACGCAATTAGGGCCGAATATATATTCCATATTTAATTCTCCCTGCGAAATCTGCAAGGAATTTAATATCTCTGTTGGAGATTGAGACTCGATATCGGGGCAAAGCGAATTAACGTGTTTCTTAATCTCGTGTCCAAGTTAAGAGGAAAAGTGGACGTTTCCTAACGCGGGGTAAGAACAAAAGCGCAGTGCCCTTTCGAGCACGTTCGCGGCGCATAATCGAGCTCAGGCCACGAACAGCTCACGTGGGTGGAGTTGGTTCTCCCTTCGTGCTGGTATCGGCTGTTGTCGGCCGATTGTAAAAACGCGAAACTCGTTGCAATCTCGTATCGGTCATGGCCGATCGCTTTTACCAGCTGGCTACTACTCTGGAACCGATGGAACGCTGCAAGACACAAGAGAGAGCACGGAGTCGCAACTTTTTCTTATCTCGGGGTAAATGATAGAATAAGCGTGGATTGGAAAGTACAATTAGTTCGTGGATTATTTAAATTTTTCATCGCTAACCATGACCGAGCGTGATAATTATGGGTTCGGATTTAACCAGTTTTGATCGAGATACGTGTCTCGAGTTTCAATTTCTATGGTATCTATCTATGAATTATCGAAGATTGTGGAGAAATTCAAAGATTAACTTTGATTAAGTTTTGGTTAATTTTAACTTTAGTTTTATGTATCTATTAATTATACATGAAATATTATTAGTTGTTTATACTATAATTTCATTATATACATTTATAATTTATGATACTTTTCATTATAACGGTACAATTATGTAGGAAATTATATAAATATATTTTAAATGTTAAAAAGTTTTGGTTAACTTAGATTTTATATATCTATTAATTATATATGAAATATTATTAGTTGTTTATACTATAATTTCATTATATGCATTTATAATTTATGATATTTTTCATTATAATGGTACAATTATGTAGAAAATTATATAAATATATTTAAAATGTTAAAAAGTTTTGGTTAACTTAGATTTTATATATCTATTAATTATATATGAAATATTATTAGTTGTTTATACTATAATTACATTATATACTTTTATAATTTATAATACTTTTCATTATAATGGTATAATTATGTAGAAAATTATATAAATGTATATAAAATGTTAAAAAATGTTGGTTAACTTAAATTTTATATATCTATTAATTGTACATAAAATATTATTAGTTATTTATACTATAATTACATTATATACATTTATAATTACAACGGTATAATTATGTAGAAAATTACATAAATGTATATAAAGTGTTAAAATATAGGCACAAAATTTATTAATTTAATTAAAATTAATATTTAATTCGTTTATTTTTAATTAATTTATTTTATTTATATTTAATTATTTCATTCGTTTATTTATTTAATTCGTAGCCGTCTACAGTCTATAATGACTAGTAAACACGTGCCAAACATCATTTAATTCATTGCCAAACATGATTGTTACCAAAGACATCGATATTCAAGATCGATATTACTCAGCTTCTTTTTCACTCAACAATCGCTTAATTTCTGTAACAACTGGACAAAATTTCGAACTGAAATTTCTTTACAGATGGTCCACTACGTGTCAGCGTCAGCACTGACGTCGCAAGCTCGCCAGACACCACCTAATTCCCGAAACAGCCCGGATCTGTTCGGTCAGCTGCTTCGGAAAGCAGGAGGCATGGGCGACATCAGGGATTGTCCGGTGAGTAACGTCACTTTTCACCGATTGATCGACTCTCTTTCGCGCAAACTAGACCTTGGGGACATTTTTCGATGGCGAACGATTCACGAGTTAGAACCTCGAAGCAGTTCCTGTGACTCGCGTTTGATTCATCCGGCTGACAAGATCAGGCACACTCTCCTTTGGCCTTTCTTGGAAATAATATCCCGCGGACTTTCTCTTTGAAGTGGAACGATAACTATCGTTCGAGTGCCGCGGGCTATTTGGTCGACCGTGTGGATGCTGTGTGGATTCAGTTAGAACCTTGTGCAGCCAGGAAATTCCACGATTTGCAGGAATTTCGACACTGAAATAATTACTACTTTTTCTCGGTCGCCATCTATACTTGGAGATTAAATAGCTCGGAAACTATATTTGCTAAGACCCTAATTATATTTTTTACTATACATAGTGTCATAATAAGATAAAAAATATCATCACCTTTTACTAAAAAAATATTACGAATAATATTAACCCTTAGCACTCGACGATGTTTTGGCTTGAGAAGAGTAGAAAATCAATGATCCTCTACTGAAAAACTGACGATACTTTTTTGAGCATTAAATAAAGAATTGTAGAATTATTTAATTTCAATACCTCGCACATTGTTACATTACATTAAATTTGATATATTAATTAATATCGATCTTCTAAATTTTATGAAATACTTACTGAAGCTCACCTCTCGAGTGCAAAGGGTTAAAAACACCGTTTATTTCAACCCTCTGTTACGTATATTTAAATCTATACCTTTTTAAAATTTTATTTTATTTTTCTGTCATTTGCTATCATAATCTATCAGTATACCATTATATTGTTTCCAAGTAATCTCTGTATAGTTAATATTCATTCCTGGATTCCACTTTTACGGAAAATACTGTAATCAATAATTACCTTGTTATACCATAACCTCGCAAGTTTCTATTTACAGAGGGTTAATAATTATTTCTCGTATATTTCACATAAATATGCATTGTCATATTTATTTTATTATTTACGAATTTATTAACAGAGTTATTTATTATATGCTTTTGATGAAATAAATTCCATGTCTCTGTTGTCCCATCAACGAACGCTGTAATTACCAGCCGGATGATAGAAGATCTTTTCATTTACAGAGCTCTTGCGGTGCGAAAATCCAAATCTGCCGGACTCTGATGAACCGGCCGGAAATAGTTTCCGTCGGAGTCGTATGGGATAGCGAACGGCCATCGTTGGAGCATATCATGGACGTTTTCGCAACCGTGGGAACGTCCCTCAGATTGAGCGATGTTTTCCACAGCGTGGTGGACTCTCGATGGGGTGCCTCGACCGTGCACAATCTCGTCGGGGTCGTCACGTATTACGGGAAACACTACTCCACCTTCTTTTTCCACACTAAACTAAAGGTTAGCACGGATTACGATGTACCTACCCTTAATTATGCCAATCAATGAATCAAACTCGATTCCCATTTACATAAGAAATTAATCTTCTCTCTCTATCATTACACCAAGCGATCTTCACGCTGAAATAACGCATAGTAGCAGTCGATCTGTGGTTAAGTATATGTTACGTGAGATACTTCTCAGAGTACGATCCAGACACGAATAATAGCGAATAAGCACGCCACGTGTAATCACGAGATATAGTACATGACTGGAAGAAAATTATTTGGCTCCGACATGTTCTCGAATTTTGTTCTGTCGTTTACTCTGCTCTTTTTAACCCTTTGCACTCGACGATTTTTTGGCTAACGTGGCTAAGTTTGGCTAAGTTTGGAGTTGACAAATTTTCTGTTATAAAGCTGATGATACTTTTCGAGCAGTAAGTGAAAAATCATATAATAATTAACACGTAGAAATATTTAATTTCGATACCTCGTATACTGTTTAATATTTTAAATTTCACATATTAATTAATATCGAGCTTGGAAATTTTTCAAATGGCGACTGAAAGGCGCCTCTCGAGTGCAAAAGGTTAAAATATAGTCCTTTTAAATCACGTCTTCGATCTTTCACAGTGGGCCAAAAATATTTTCATTTTACATAGTGATTATTAAAAGATAATAAATTGATGGTTGGATTTTTTGGCAATTTTTCTTCCAGGTGTGGATCTACTTCGACGACGCTACCGTCAAGGAAATAGGCCCACGTTGGGAGCAGGTGGTGGAGAAGTGCAGAAGGGGTAGATATCAGCCGCTGCTTCTGCTGTACGCAACCCCTGGTGGAACCCCGGTGAACACGGAGAACGCCCCGAAAACCGTAACGCCTTTCCCGAACGGAAATGGACTGAAGACACCCCCGAAGAATAATGTTCGACGATCGATCACGCCCAGCCCGGAAAAACCATCGATCAACAGTACTGCCAGACGTGCCATCACGCCCAATCCCGACAGCCCTCCTCACCCTTACACGCAGCGCAGGATTTACAGCGATTATCAGAATCTGACTGACATTCAGAACAATATCTTCGGCAATCAGGTAAATTTCGCGTTGATGATCTATGTGACGATACGATTTATTTCAATCACCGTTAACCCTTTCGGTCAGAAAAATTAAATAAAAAGATTGAGACAAGTGCTACCGTTCCTCTTAGCTCCCTTGGCAGAGAATTGCAAGTTCTATTGCGATGGTTAGTTTTTCCTTTCGTCTTTTTCTTCAAAAAATTTTCGTCGAAAGATTTAACACTGAAGATTGTATAATGGCAATGTTTCCATCTTTGACACGTCGCTTCGTTCTGTGGAAGAAACTTCGTGGCGACACCTGCTGTAGCGAAAGGGTTAATAGACTAGAGTCTTTTAAATATTGTTTAATAAATCATCACACATACGTGAGGTCAGAAATGTAGATAAAGATGTTTAACAAAATCGTAAACGAAGCTTGAAGAAACGTAACAAAATATTTTTCATATAATATGCAAATTCAACTTTATGGTAAATTATTACGAAACGCAAAGAATAAAGAGCGTAGTGCTATGTATGGTAACCAAGGATTTTATTTTCCATCGAAGGGTGTCGACACCGTGGACGGGGAGGCAGAATCGAAGTATATCAGTCGACGTGCGGTGGAGACCGTGATGCAGCAGCAGAAGAAGCAGCAAATGCAGTTGACGCGCAGTCTGAGCGCAGGATCGACGCCGCAGGATGCCATCAGTATTCCGGATCACTTGAACGTGCCTCGGAGGCGAGATTCCGGAAACTGGTCCGGCGATCGGAACAGCGCTTCCTCGAGTTCCTCCACCACGATGGACAATCCGTATTTGTATATCGTAAACAAAATGCAGAGGAACTCGGGCGTGCCGAAAAGCCCGACCAGCAAGTCCGGAGAACTCTCGAGCAGCAGCAGCGGCCATTACGATGCCGGATACGACTCGTATTCTTTGTCTTCCACGGACAGCCTTCCGCTACAGCAGGGCCTGAAGCATAACCTGCAGGTACGTCTTGATCTCCGTAACAGTGAAATAGTAACATTGGAAGAATACGAGAAATAGACAACGCAAGTGTGACCTAGAACTTTTCTGTGCAACGTTGGCTCTGGTCAAACGTATTTCTTTGATTTTAAAACGCGACGAGTTGGATTATTTATGCGTTGAAATATTGGCTTCCTTTTTATTCTTCTTTGTAGTTTAATTTTTGTGAGCCCGGTCGAAAGAGATTTACAGTGCTTGCACTGTTCTGGAAATATAAATATTATTAAAACACACGAAAGAGTTAAATCGATTTACTTAACATAGCTTGCCCAGATCCCGGAAGGCTACCAAGCTTCCTCAGGCGACGACTGCGAACGCCTCTGCAAGGAAACCGACGCGCTCCTGGACAAGTCTCGAGCTGCCGAGGATGCAGGTGACCTCAGCACCGCGGTTGCTCTGTGCAGCGCAGCCAGTAGCAAAGCTAGAGCCGCCATGGATGCACCGTACAATAATCCTTACACGATCACGATAGCGAGAATGAAGCACAACACTTGCTTGATGAGGAGCAAAAGCTTGCACAGAAGGATGTTGCAGGAGCAGGCGACAGCTAATGGAGAAAAAGAAGGTCAGTTATTCGACGAATCTTATGGAAATTAAATTATTCGTGCAACTCGTGGTTTAATGTCTAACATATGTATCTAATAATTTTAGAAGGTGCACCGGAAGGTAGACACTCGCGAGAGAACAGCAAGTCCAGCCAACACTCTCGTCAGAGTTCCAGGGACAAGGGGAACCATTCTAGACAGAACAGTCGAGAATTGCTTGTAAATGCGCCAGCCACGACAAACGACAAGCCAGCTACGAAGAGCATCGAAATCTACGCCACCTTGCCAAAAAAGAAGACTCTACGCAGTAAAGCAACAGCCGTGAACGTGATCGAGGACGAAGAGTACATGCTGTACGATCGACCAATGCAAAGGACAGGTCTGTTCAGTCGCACGAAACGTTGCGACGACGATAAGAAAGACAAGAAACGAGCTCGAAGCGAGGAGAGGAACAAGAACGTCTCGAAAGACTTTTCTATCGCACCCTCTAGATCTTCTCCCTCGCCGAAAGGAGCCAAGGTAGAGAAGTCGAAGGATAGTGTCGACACTATTGCCAACAACGTGCGAAATTCTCAGTCCAACAACGCGAACGGTGAGCAGAAACAGGGAAAGAAGCAACACAAGATCCGTAGGAAACTGTTAATGGGTGGTCTGATCAAGAGAAAGAACAGGAGCATGCCGGATCTGCGGGAAGGACAGGATGGACAGGCGAACGCCAGCGTGGAGGGAGCCTCCAACACCTTGCCGAAACAGTCAGTGGACGATTCCAGCGTAGGTTTGAAGGGTAACGAGGTGTGCCAGTCTCTGAGCGGTTATCTGTCAGAGGGCCACCTGGAGTTCACCGGGAACAGTAACAGTAGTCCGGGTAGTACGAGCAACCCGAATTTGGAGAGAAGTCGTCTGATGAGGAAAAGCTTCCACGGCAGCGCCGGCAAAGTGTTACACGTGGCGAAGGTTCCGCCGCCTCCTCCGCTCAGGACCACTTCTCAGCTTAGCAAGTCTAAGTGTTCGGGTGAAGTGCACAACGAGCAGCAGTCCGAGAAATCGGCGTATCCTGCGCCAGAGGGTCAGTGCGTGTCGAATCCACCTCAGGAGCAAAATGGGACTTACTGGAATCACGTGAACGCGACGAATTCTAACGGAGGGTCTAACAGGTCGTCCAACTATACCGATTATTCGTCCGAGTCCCATTCGCTTCCGTTCTTGCCTTCATACTCCATGGAACAGAACGTCGCGAACGTGCCCACGTCCTGTCCCTCGAGCTACAACAGCAAGCCTAGAATCCAGGACGACGTGGTGCAGTACGCCAATGGGATTTTGTACGAACCCACTTTCGTGGTTACCAGAGCTGACGTGCACAGTGAGCAGAGTCCAGTGAAGCAGCCAAATCAGGTGGATTCCTTGCCTCCGTATCCAGAAGGTGGAAACGTTTCTCATTCGAGACAACCTAGCGAAGATTTTCCACCCCCGCCCTATCCCTCTATCCATTCCGTGTCTCATTCGAGGCAAGCGAGCGAGGATTTCCCACCACCGCCACCACCGATCGACGAAAGCTCTAATCACGTTCAGGACAGCCAACAGCAGCAGTATCATCAGTATCAACAGCAGCAATACCAGCAGCAGTATCAACAGCACCAGCAACCGCAGCAGCGTCAGCAGCAGCTGGATAGCCAGCATATCACCAGTCTGTTGTCACAGTTGCAGATGAAGAGAGATCAGATTCTGCCCTGCGAAGCTCCGAGAGAGGACAAGAGGCCGGAAGAGCAGGAGGAAGAGGAAAAATCGTCAGGAGAAACCTGGCTGCGCGAGTTGCAGGCTAAACAGGCTGAAAGGAGGATGAAGAAACAGGGTCCTCTCGAACAGGATATTCCTAAAGTTAGATCATCCGCTCCGACGATCCCTGGACCAACGATAGCTCGAAGGACGAGCGACCTGATGATGAATAGCCTTGGTCAAAGCTACGATCAGGCCAGTCGTGACGTACCAGACTGTCCAAGGGTTGTTTCCTCCGTGAAAGACATGGCGGCTAGATTCGAGCAGATCAAGCTGCAGCCGGTCACGAAAACCGAACCTGAACAGAAGGTTCCGACGAAGCAGAACGCGAATTGCGTTTCTCCTTCTCCGATGCTGGATACTCCTCAGGAAATTCAGCACACGGAGGAATCGAGACCAATGAAACTCTCCTCGGAAAATCTGGCGAACTTTACCAAAACTGAGAGTCCCTCGAGTCAGTCGATCATGAACTCTAGCTTCGAATCCAGTTCCAGTCAGAACAGTTTCATTTCCACCACGGCTCCGAGTAACCCCATGCAAACGCAGCAGAGTGGATTGAACCAGGCCATCATGTCGATGTCTCTCACGCTGCCGCATGAAAACGGTTTGCCTATCGACTATCCCGAGGATGACATCAGCGAAGTTGCCATGCAGAATACCATTCAGAACACCACGATCCTGCCCAGCGAAGATGACATCGCGCCGAGGAAAGTGAAACGACGAATAGGGAAGAAGAAAAGCGTGTCGTTCTGCGATCAAGTCGTTCTCGTGGCTACCGCTGAGGACGACGAGAAAGACTCTTACATACCCAATCCTATTCTCGAGAGGGTCCTCCGTTCAGCGATGAACAAGCCAGAAACTGCCCAAGTTCTTCGCGAGATCAGAAGTCTCCAGGAGGCAGAGATGAACCGAGAGAACTGTACTGCTACCAAGTTCCAACAGCAGACTCTGCCATTAAAAAGCGAAGCTGACAGCGTCCCTGCGACTCCGTACCAAGATCAATTGAGGAGCGTAAACCCCATACCTATCCCAGACACCATTAAGCCCACTTTTGGCAGGCAAAATTCGAACGAGTCAGTAGGGTCGTTGGCAGACAAGAAGCTGTGTGCTTCATACGGCAACGAAGGCCAGGATGTTGTCAGAGACACCTACACAGGGCTGCCCAATGTGGCAAAACCTCCCACGTCTTATTCTCCCCAACTGCAGCAGCAGATAAGGTATTCCCAGAATGGATACATGCCATATTTGCAGTCTCAGTCAACCTATCCTCAAGCACAGACGTCTCATCCCAGAAACCAAGGTATTCCTCTGTCTCAGACTCAAAAGCCTGCCAGCCCTTACCCTACTCAGATCCAGTACGTCCAGAACAACGTGCAGCAGCAGAAAACAATGTGTCAGAAGAACACCTACCAGACTTACTACCAACTGGAACAACAGCACAACCAGATGAACAAGCAGATGTCCCAGCAGCAGCAGCAAAACATGAATCAGAGGATCACCAACCACAACGCGAGTCCCATAACGGTTCA